ACGACGCGTCCTCCTCCTCCCTCACCCCGTTGCTCTTTTTTTCTTTCCCTCCTTCTTTCCTCTCTGGCCGGGTCTCGTCCACTTCCCCTAGAGGCCACCCGGATCCTACGGTAACGAGAAGCTAGGGAGGCCGAGGGTGGGCCCGGCCGTTGGTGCAGGCTGTGGGCCCGGGGCCTGCCTTCCCGAAGCGGGAGCCGGGGGCGGAGCCGGGGCGTCGTTGTCGGCGGGAGGAAAAGGGAGGAGACGGGAAGCCTGACTGCGGCCGCCCCGTCAGGCGCCTACCGCCTCCTCCCCCGAGACTGCTCCCGAGTCGGCCGTCGAGTTTCCGGGCCCACGGCCGGCTGCTGGGACTCGGCCCTGCACAACTAGCGGGGCAGGGGCGCTAGGGCGCCGGCGTGCAGGGGTTGGCGCCGGAGGAGGGAGTCTAGACTGCGAGGACGTCCCGCGCCCCGCCTTTCCCTCCATCTCCGGAACCCTGGGGCCTGGGGCGGGCGACGAGGTGCAAAACGGGACAGACGGCTGTGAAGGGAGTGGGTTGAGGAGTGTTGGGGGAAAACGTTGGGCTCCAGATTCGAGGTGTAGAGTTTCCTAAAGGGAGAGGTTTTAAAGCCGCCTGCATGGTGGCAGTTGATGTTCACATTTTCATACACCCTTCTTTTTCTCCCTCCCCCCATTTTTTCTTTCCATTTGTTTTCGTGTTTTACAGTAAAGGCATGACTTCCCAGCACCTCAGGGAAAACAGGGTGCAAGCCCAGAAACTATTTCCCCACCACCACTTGTTGAAAAACTGATTTGAAAGCGTCTCGGGTTTGAACAAACGGAAAGTGCCAGGATTTCATGCGTCTCTGGTTTTGCGCTGGGGGCCCTTTACTACTAAGTATCAAGACGAAAAAAACTGGAAACTAATCCGGTAAACATTTAAACTTGAAAACTACTTTTATTTTGCTCTAGTAAGTGATTTGCCGCTTCTCTTTTGTTGGGTAGTTCCTGCTGTTTTTAACTTCCGCATTAAAATATCTTTACCTTCTGTTGAAAACACTTTTGTTCTTAGGATGTGTAAACTCGAGCATCCTCTACTGGGTAGATATTTGCCTCTGCAGTAGCACAAGCAGACTTTTGAAAGTTACAAGACATTGGAATGTATAGGCCTTTCATATTATCTCCCAAGTAATTGAGTATTTTTTGCTTCAGAGAGAAAGGAACATGAATTTTTTTCAAGTTTGAAATTCAACTGTTTAAAGACTGAAGACTTTTCACATAGAAAGATTTAGGCATTACTGGGCACAAATATTTAATGTTTTTATAACTAGTTTAGAGCCATTAGTAATTGGGACTGATTTGCCATAGACGTATAAAGTACAAATCATTAACTTAAAGTACAGACGTGTAGGGGTAATTCACTATTTATTAGGCAGGAATGATCTGCCTTACCTGCCATTGAAAATCTGTAGCCAAACACAGTATTTGTCACATGAAAGCCATACATTAAACAGATTTTTAATAGAAAAAATTAAACCTGTTAGAACCAAAATTTTAAAATACTTTCCAGAATTTCTGTGAAACATTAAGTCCTCTGAGTTTATGTCCGTAGGTGTCTAATACATTGGCAATTTAAAGTTCTTTTGGGAGAGATTTTATATTATTCAGCTATGAATTCTCTAGTGTGGATTAACACCACTATTTCTGATTACACTTATAAAGCATAGTTCTTCAGAGCACACTTAATTTATCTCTACGATATTTATATAGAACAGAATTCCTTCTTGAATTATATCAAATTCATTTTAATTTCTTATATCTAGGTTGATGTAAGAGCTTAACTCAAAGGCATGGCCCCAGGGAACAAATGGTAGCCACCAATAACGTTTGTTCAGTATCTCAAGTTTTCAGTGTCCATGGTTTTGGCAATAATCATAAATGTCTGTTATTAGGATAAATTTAGAAATTATTCTGCTTCCGAATTAAATAGTTGAAAAAATAGTGAAGAAATCATTTATTTATTCAACAAATTGTGATTGAGCATCTGTCATATACTAGGCACTAAGTTAATGAGTTCTTGGTTTTGTTCTAACTTACTAGTTAACAAATGAAATAAATATTAGCAAATGTAAGTATTAGTCTTTAATGGAAAAAAGGGAAAAAAGTGTTAGAAAAAGTGCTTTGCATATATCTTGATCATCACCTTTTGGAAAACTTAGTAGAGGTATATATGCATTAAAAATTATTTACTTTGAATTCTATTTTGGCTTTAAAATTTAATATTTCTGATATGTTTAGTCTGCTTTCTTGGGTTTTACTTTTTTTCTCTGAGCAGTAATGGAAATTATATTTATCTTCATATACAATTATGCCAGTTTATTTTTCCACCTGTTTGAACAAACTTTGTTTACAATTCCCTATGGTTGTGTTCCTAAAATCAGTTACCCTGGAACTGTGAAGGAAAAGAAGCTCTGTTAAACTTGAATACATATCTAGATTGGATGAAATTAATATAATACCCTAAATATTGACCTGTGATTAGATTTTTCTCAAAGATAGTGACATCTGAGATAGGTGCAGTTCTTTTTCTCATAGTTCTAATTTATTTGAATTTTGTCAAATTCAAGGAATTAATGTGGTTGTTACTATTAATGGGCACACGGTCTTTTAATTTAAATTATCTGAAATCTTTAATCTTAAAATTGTTTAAACTTTTCTTTTACTATTAGTTGCTTCCCAGGTGAACTGTTGTTATAACACTTATCTTTTCTCTTGTCTTGGAAGAACCTTATTCAAAGTCAGAATGGAAAGATTTGTAGTGACAGCACCACCTGCTCGAAACCGGTCTAAGACTGCTTTGTATGTGACTCCCCTGGATCGAGTCACTGAGTTTGGAGGTGAGCTGCACGAAGATGGAGGAAAACTCTTCTGTACTTCTTGCAATGTGGTTCTGAATCATGTTCGCAAGTCTGCCATTAGTGACCACCTCAAGTCAAAGACTCATACCAAGAGGAAGGCAGAATTTGAAGAGCAGAATGTGAGAAAGAAGCAAAGGCCCCTAACTGCATCCCTTCAGTGCAACAGTACTGCGCAAACAGAGAAAGTCAGTGTTATCCAGGACTTTGTGAAAATGTGCCTGGAAGCCAACATCCCACTTGAGAAGGCTGATCACCCGGCCGTCCGTGCTTTCCTGTCTCGCCATGTGAAGAATGGAGGCTCCATACCTAAGTCAGACCAGCTGAGGAGAGCATATCTGCCTGATGGATATGAGAATGAGAATCAGCTCCTCAACTCACAAGATTGTTGACCAGGAGGTTACCACCATTGTGATCAAGATAAATAATGTGGAGTGTTAAAGTTATGTATTGATTGTATGGTTCATTTTTTATATTTATTTCGTTTAAAATCATGTGATGAAGAATAGTTTTTCAATGTGTATATAGTTGCAGGCAAAAAAAAATTCACCATAAAACTTACTGTTAATTTTAGTCACCAATGGTATAAAACAAAACTTAGGGTTTAGAGTGTGCTAGAATACCTTAAACCTGATGGTTATCTTTAAAATTGAAGGTTTTTCTCTTGAAATGTTTGTGCATGGAAGAACTGCCCTGCTTTTTTACCCTATTGCCATGTATGATTATTCCTTGTGAGAGTACTTAATTACTTGGATTGAAGACTAGCCTAGGGAATTGAAGCTGCTGCCAGGCAACACCACTCACAGTAACTTAAAGGAATTCTTTCTGATTAGAGGGTCCTCCTCAAAATGGAAGTAATAGTGGTAAACTGTTCTTGTATATTCAGATCCTTAGCAGAAAATGACTGTTTACTTCAAACTACGCTTTACTTGTATATGATGTAGTTACCTTAACTATCCTTCAGTTCCTCACTGTCTTTCCCCCCCCTTTTTAAAGGCTTATTGTTATATTTAGTAACAGCTTCAGGTGACCAAAAGACTAAAATCTTTTCATGTCCGTGCCAAAAGCCATAGGGAATTTTGCAGTGACACGATTTTAGTCTCTTACCATAAACACACATTTTTGAACCATAGCTTTCATTTCAAGCATCATCTTGAGTTTGTAAACTTTTTCCTTCAGGATTATCTTTTTAATTTAAACAGGTAGACATTTTATTATTGAGTTTTCTGTTTTTACAGAAAACTAGTAATATTTTGGCTGACAGATCAGAAAATAAGGAAATTACTTTCTATACCTTAATTTTTCCATAAAGTTTTGTAAGAGTTTAGTTAGGATAAGTAGACTAGAAACAAGATTACTTTCACTTTTATGTGCTTTGCCTCTGGTGGTACAAAGTTTTTAAATGGATAGTAAACAGTTGTCTAAAAATACTGGCAAGATTTCTGCAGTGGAGATCTGGCAGAATTCTGCATAACTGTTTGGGTGAGGCAATAATCAGTTCTGTTAGAGGTCAACCATGTTAAGAAATGATCCCTATCTGAACCTCACTATTTAAGGTTATCAGAGACCCAAATTATATTTTTTAAAAACTAAACAGCTGAAAACTTGAAGTAGAGCTTTAAAAACTTAAATTCTTTGAAAGCATTCAAGTTAAAATACTTATAAAATATATTTCTATTACAAGGCACTGACAAATGATGCCCTATGTTAACAGCAGGAGTTATCTTTAAGCTTATTTTACCACAAATCTTCATTTATAAAAGAAAAGCCAAAGTGAATAAGAGCAAAGTTAGATTTTATATTTTTCAGAAACAGCTTTCCATGTCTAAATTTCTTAAGTTCCTAGTTCAGGTTGTCAAAGTGTCCATCCGATTTTAGATTTTATGTGAATTTTGGGGTGGTTTTTTTTTAATTTTAAAATAAGCCTGCCACCAAAAAAAAATCATTTGTGAAAATTTGAACTACCAATTTTCCTCATGTTCAGTTATATTAAAAGTAGCACAATAAATGCCTAGAGTAGTGCTCTCATTGATAAAGCACATTCATGAGGAGACCAGCAGCAAAACATAACCAAAATGTACTTTGCTTTTATGTCTTTTAGTAAAGAATTTGCAGGCAACCATGTTTAATTTGAATTATCTATGAGGATAAAAAGTCTAAGAAGCTGGGAAAATAATTGAGTTTTATAGCACTATTTTTAGGGTACAAAAATAAGGTTAGATATGCAATCATTCTAATTTTTCAAAATTCCATGTGATTCAGACAGCTCCCTATTATTTGGATATTAATTTGCACTGAGAGCAAACCTATAGTGGCAGAACAGTTTTGAGTAGTCCCAAGCTGTAAACTGGATGACGTTCCACTGGAAAAATACCAATAATTCACATTTGAGTTTCTAGTAGTTATTATAGATTTGATGATCATTTAGGCCCCATATATCTTAATGTATCTTACCAGGCTCCAAACCTTTCCCACACACACCATATCTAGGGGCATAGTCCATCTTTCTGCTAGGATTATATCATGCCCATAGAAGCATTTTTCATCCTGTTGTGGAGGTTTAATGTGTTCCTTTACTTGATTATAAAACTTTTTGTTCCCTAAATATGGTTAACTTTGTCTCATAGTTAAATAGATAAAGCAGAATAATTGCTTTAGCCTGCTCAAACGTACAGATCTGTGAAACCATGATTGGCATATGTCAGTTAACAAATGAGAATATCTAAGAGGCGCATATACTGCTGTCGAGGTATAGTGGACATGTGTGTACAGAAGCTTTCAGTCTTAACTATATAGTGTTAGTGTGATGATATACTATTTGGGAAAATAGCATTTTCTATTTTATAAGTTGTATGCATAAACATAAGATTTGTAATGTTTCATTTATAAACTGCCTTCAACACATGCTTAACTGTTAATAGTGTTTTCTTGAAGTATAGTAGTATGTCTTCCAGAATTTCACTTTATGCTCACAGTAAATAGTTCCTAGCCAGTTGAAATGTTAAATTCTTTGTTGGTTTCTTTTGATTCTATGGGGCATATAGCAAGCCTGAAGGACATTGTAATAATTTCTTACAGGGTGAAATTTTAGAAAGATTGTGTGTGAGAGCCTAAATAGTTATTTTATTCATTATCATTTTTGGGTTACACGGTTTATTTTTAAACAAATGCTACTTCCAGTTAATGCATTTGGCCCTACTGAATTTTCAGGGACCAAAAACCTTTGAAGAAATAGTTCTGCATCTTAGAATTGTAACCAATTAAGTATTGGCTTGGGATTGTTCTGAAGTATTTATTGCTTAAAAACTATTGTAAGTAACAGTTGGCAAGATCTCTAAGCAGAAAGTTCCATGTTAAAACTTTTTCCTGAAAGAATTTGTATATGGATGTTAATGGAAAACACATTTAAACAAAATAAATTTAAAGTGGCTCTAAATGAAAGCCACAGGAAATCCATTTGGTGCTCTGTCTTTGTAAGGGCTCTCCATGGTTTGACTTGCCCCAACTGCTTTTAAATGAGTACATATCACCTTCATTAAATGGAAGATTTGTTCTATAATTTCATTGAAAGTCTTATCCTAAAATAAATTGCTTTAGCATCTGGTCAGCTCTGATTAAAATGTGAATAGTGAAGTGGCTATCTTAAACCTTGATTTACCTGAATCTATACTGTCATAGACTTCTGAGGTAAATATAATTCTTACCTAGTGGTATTCTGCTTGTATCCAGAATACTGTACCCATTAAATTTTACTATGTTCATTTTTGTATTCGTGCTTGTTTGGTTTTTTTTTTTGTTCATGCATGTATTAGTATAAATGTCGCCTTTAAAGTTTTGTTTCTGTGACTTTTAGAAATAAATTTCAAAGAGAATTTGTTTCAGAAGTTTTTGAAAGCACATTTTGTTTTGTGAGTGAATAACATAATTCCAAAAGATGAACAGAATTTTACTAATTGAGTTTTATTTCCCTGTTATATCTCTTTGTAGCATTATTCATTCTTATGCCTAATATAAAAGCATGTAGTCTGTCTAGTAAGAATTACATCATAGATATAGGTAGTCCTTTTCTACAAAAATTACATAGATAATATTTAAATAAGCTTAATCAATGCTTTTAAATGGAAACGTTTTCATTTTCTACTTTTAGAAAATACCAGTTATCAAAGATGGACCTAATTTGCATAAGTTTTATTGGGTTTCTGAAAGATTTGCTATGTCCTTAATTTGACACTGGGTGCAAAAAAACCCAAAAAACACATAAAAGTTGAAAATTGCCTTTTAGTAGTTTTACATAGTTTTAAGGGCTATCCACTTCTATTTGTCAAATTAACTTCTATTTACCTCTATTTGGCAAAAAAATTAATAGATTTGTAAAATAAATTTTTTTTCCTGGAATCAAAATGGTAGAAAGGACCTTAAGAAATACAGGCAATACGTCTGCTTCCAGTTTAATATCTAACCCACCAGAGACCTGTCTTCATTTTTCCTAAAGAATCCCATTGTAATCTTTATTAAACGTAAACCAATTGAATGTATGCGCCTCTGAGTCTCATAACAGTTCCTTTTTTTTTTCTGTGTAAATTGAGTTGTAGTACACACCTGTAATATGGTATGTCATGGTGCAAAGATGCTCCCAGGATCAGGCTGCTAACCTAGCCCTGTGAAATCTAAAACTGGAAAGTAGAATAGTACTGACTTATGATGGGATGCACTTGATATGTATGGCATGACTTTAATTACTCCTCCAATATGTTTGAATGGTTTTATATACATACTATTTAGAGTAAATGCTTACTGCTCATTTAAATGTTGGAATGATGGGCTAAAATAAATGTTTAAAAGCCCATGTCTTTGCCCAGCCAGTGTTGCTCAGTGGTTGAGCCTCGACCCCATGAACCAAGAGGTCACCAGTTCAGCTCCCTGTCAGGGCACATGCCCAGGTTGCAGCCTCGATCCCCAGTAGGGGGTATGCAGGAGGCAGCCGATGGGTGTTTCTATCCCTCTCCCTTCTTTCTATAAAATCAATAAAATCATTTAAAAAATAAATAAAAGTCAATGTCTTTGACTTCTTATTTATTGAGACCCTATCATGTGCCTGATACTACTCTAGCCAAGGGGTGCACATCAGAGAAAATTCAAATATCTGTTTAATTCTAGTGATGATTCATTGTCATAATATGGAGGAAGGGGTGCACATTGTTTTATCCAAGCAACTCCTTAAGCTTTCCCCATGAGGCTAGTTAGTTAGAAGCCAAATAGTTATCTCTGGTTTCATCTTGTCAAAGTCTTATTTCATAAAAAAAAACAGCAATAAGATTGAAAATTTGCAAATTAAATGGTCTACATATTCTTTGAAAATCTGGTAGTCTGTAATCTATAAAATATCAATTTCCAGGTTAAAATCTATTAAGCAATAGAATTGATCCATTTAAATGCCTGTGAAATAAGAACCTTCCACACATTTTAATTCAATGTCCATGGTAAACCCAGAGTTTGAATATTGTCTAGTACTTAATCATACATTAACCAATGATTATAACCCAACCTCCTGAGCTGTTTATGTATATATTAGATAGCAGACTCTCCAAACTTTTCTGTTTGCTTAAGCATAAAAGGAAATGGAATTTTTTCTTACCATGCTATGTATTCAATAGTAATAATTTTATGCATTATTTTTAAAATTCTACTTTCATGAATATACAGAACAAAATAGTCAATATGTAGAGAGATATATATAAAGGGAAGTTTATTTTAATACTATCATATTAAACAAATGCTATGAATGCCCAGCTATTGGGGAGTGGTCTAAAAATTATGACACAACCATGTTACGGAGACTTCACGTGATCTAAAATTATAATCGAGATTTCTACAATATTGCTAAAGTTTTAAAAAATCACATAGTGTGCCCTGGCCAGGTGGCTCAGTTGATTGGAGTGTTGTCCCATGCACCAAAAGGTTTTGGGTTCAGTTCTCCATCAGGGCACATACCTAGACTGCAGGTTCTATCCCCAGTGGGGGTGTGCACAGGAGGCAACCCATCGATTTTTCTCTCTCACATTGATGTTTCTCTCCCTTCCTCCCTTTAAAAATCAATAAAAAAAAAACGTATCCTCTGGTGAGGATGAAAAACAAGCAAACAAAAAACACACACCCTATTTTCTCCCTTTTGAGAAAAAAAAGAAACAATGCTATATAATTGCACTATGTTTATATGAAGTAATGGACACACTCGGTATGTTAAGATTACTGCCCCGGCAGGTGTGGTTCAGTTGGTTGGGCAGCATCGTGCCCTGAAGAGTTGCTGGTTGGATTTCAGGTCAGGGCACATGTCCAGGTTGCCGGTTCCATCACCAGGAGAGGGCATGCAGGAGGCAGCCGACCCATATTTGCTCTCACATAGATGTTTCTCTCCCTCTCCCTCATCTCTTTAAAAATCAGTTTTTAAAATCTTAAAAAAGATTACTGACTGGTGATATTGAATGGGGCAGAAGAAAATATTTGCCTTTTTTTACAGCCCTGTACATTGACTTATTTACATACAACAAGCACATGTTACCTTTGTCACACACATAAATATGAAGTAGACTTTTACTGAAACCTGCTTGTACAAGTTATATTCAAATTGTAAAGAACAGCAATATCACAGAATTCATCTACCTTATTAATGAGAATATTGAAGAATTTTAATTGCTGAACAAATATTTTATAACATCTTTTTAATTCTTTAAAATTTACTTTTATAAAATGTAGTTGTGCATTTACAAAGTTGTCATCTTTTTCCCATTAGTAAATATGTAATGTGGAGTCGATTTGAAAGCTATTACTTTAATATCCTTGTACTTTTCTTCTATAAACTGCCTAAACATTCTAGTTGCTCACAGTAATTGTACACCTTCCTCTGCGCTACTTCAATAATGCCTATAACAAACAAATTGATCTCTGCTAAAACCATGTAGACATGTTTCAAAATCTGTCAGTTAATGGAAATACTTTGAATGTCATAAAGTATCATCAGGTAGTTCTTTATAACTTATAAATTCTATATAATATCTTAATTTCCTATTTCAGAAAACCAGCATTAGATCAGAATTGGAACTCCATGTCCAGTAACTATTTGTTATCAGAACTCTTACTCTTTTCCTCCTGGGGGATGGCCTAGCATCTCCTTGCTCACTGACACGACAGTAATTTCTTTACTCCTCAGTATATTAGGAACAAAACAATCAAGTTGCAATCTTCCTCCATATCAATGGCCATCTGTTCTTAATATTTCTTTCCAGTCTGATTTTCTTCTTTTCTCCGCAAATGCTTCATCCCTAACCCTTGTTTAATTTCAGGGCTGCACTTTTGGGTAGAACAAAATGTTCTTAATTTACTGAGGGGTCACAGTTTTTTTTAACCCTCACCCAAGGGTATGTTTTGTTGTTGTTGTTGTTGATTTTAGAGAGGAAGGAAGAGAGAGAGAAACATGGATCGGGAACCTTCAGTGCACAGCAGGACACGCCAACCACCTGAGCAGCCCAGCCAGGGTGAGGGAGATCATGAGAGTCTAAGCAGCAGATTCATGTCTACAATCCATGTGGTCGTTAATCCACATTTTTAGACATACCCAATCAATGGAGCGGAATTTTGTAATTCAGGCTACAAATGCCACCAGAAAGTTGCATCTAGTATCTTCACCAAGTTATACATGCCCATGACCCCAGATTCTAATTTCTACAGAAATAGGTTTTCCAATAAAATTGTTAGCAACTGCAATTAACTGCAATTAATCTTAAACTCACTAAGTTGTCTTTTACAGTGTCTGTCACATTGAGTTTTGTGCTTGTTAACTGGTATTGACAATGTTGCTAATATTATAAATATCTGATTGACTTAATTGTTTTCTTAAGTCTGTGGAGAGTATCAATATATTACATTTAGAAAAGAAATAACATTTATAGATGTGCTCTCAAATTATGTTCATCATATTTGGGTATTTTATCTGCTTATATAATTTTTAATTTATTGTTGTAAAAATAATGCATGCACATAGTTTTAAGTCAGATAATGTTAAATGATTTATAATCAGTAATCCCTGCCTCACCCTCTCACCCTTCCCTATTCTTTAATTCTCCTATCACCTGCTTTTTTCTACTTTTGTCTCTGAATGATTTGCTTATACTACAATTTTGACATCAATTTTAGATATGATGCTTAAAAATGAAGATTTTGTTCTTTTACACTACCATCATCCCACACTTTTTCTCACCATAGAATTTTTATGTAAAGTCAATAGAAAATGCTTCCATTTTTATGGTCATGTAGATGATTGTTCACCACTGAACCAAATAGTGTACCTTGATTATTTCCTTTCTCATAAATTTTTCTTAAAGTTTTATCCATTTTTATTATTTTATCAATTTGGGTTTTTTTTTTCTCAAATGCACCAAGAGATATGACAAATACCTATATATCTATATGTGGCAGATAACTTTCAAATGCTTAAATATGTCAAACTATCAATATCATTTACTTTCCCAGAGACCTTCCTTCTCAGCCTTCTTTCGTCCTGCTCAAATCTGAACCGATTTTTCTCTAGATCCAAAAGGGTCATCCTCAGGTGTCCCTTTGCTTTGCTACTTTTCTGCCTAGATCTTTCCTTTCCTGTATTCCATAACCTGTACCTCGCTTAATCCATTTCTTGGCTTAAGCACATCCTCCAAAAGCCTCGTAAGAAAGAATATATGGAAGGTTTATTTTCTTGGTATCTTGCTTGACTGAAAAATAAGTTCATCATTCTTTCACAGTTAATTGAAACTTCAGCTGAGAAGGTTAAAAATAATTTTCTCTGATAATTTGAAAGTACTGCTTCATTGTCTTTCAGTAACTAGTATTGTAT